GCCACGGTGGGTCTGAGGTGGCCACGGTGGGTCCGGGGTGGCCACGGTGGGTCCCCTGGCATGGCACAGCCAGCCCTGCCCTCACCTGCACCGAGGTGATGGAGCCCTTGCGCGTGGTGGTGATCCGTTCCTGCATGGTGCCCATATCGGTGGCCAACGTGGGCTGGTAGCCCACAGCAGAGGGGATTCTGCCCAGCAGGGCTGACACCTTGGGAGGGAAGGAAGCCCCTGAGAGGCTGCACGAGGCAGCGTTGGGGGGCACAGACCCCTCAGTGCTCAGCCCCAGGAGCCCCACAGACCTCGGAGCCCGCCTGGGTGAAGCGGAAGATGTTGTCGATGAAGAGCAGCACGTCCTGACCCTCCTGGTCCCTGAAGTACTCGGCCACCGTCAGCCCCGTCAGGGCCACCCTGGCACGGGCACCGGGGGGCTCGTTCATCTGGCCATAAACCAGGGCGACCTGCAGGCAGGACCCCAGTGTGGGCACGGGGACATCCCACTGCCCCTCTGTGTGTCCCCAATGGGGGGAGACCCCCCCCACCGCACCTTGGAGGTGGCATCTTTCAGGTTGATGACCCCAGACTCAATCATCTCGTGGTACAAATCATTGCCCTCGCGGGTCCGCTCCCCGACGCCGGCGAACACCGAGTAACCGCCGTGGGCTTTGGCCACGTTGTTGATCAGCTCCATGATCAGCACAGTTTTGCCGACACCAGCACCCCCAAAAAGACCTGGGGGGGGCAAAAAACAGGAATCGTGCTCAACCCCAAGCCCACCCACCTGCCCCCGCTGCCTCCCTCCCTCCCCCTTTCCTCCTCAGATCGATAAACGTGGCTTCAGCAAAGCTCAGAAGAACGAAAGTCAAATGGTTACTCATCAGCGAAGGAAATGACTGCAGAGGGACCGATCCTGAGCCTCAGGGGGGGTGGCAGGGTGCCCCCCCTCCCCAAAACCCCCCCCTCCCTCCCTATGAGGGGGGGTACGTACCGATCTTGCCGCCCTTGGCGTAGGGAGCCAGCAGATCCACCACCTTGATCCCTGTCACCAGGATCTCCTGCTCCACGCTCATCTCCACGAACTCAGGGGCTTCGGCGTGGATGGCAGCAAACCTGCAGCCAGAGGAGGAGGAGGAAGGAGCTGAGCAGCCAAATCAAGCACCAGTGCCAGCAGATTGTGAGACTGTGGTCCCCCCTCACCACCCAGGAGAACACCAGGGTGACAGGGACGTGCCACATCCTTGATCAGAGCCATCTGCTGCTCCAGAACCTCCAAAACTGCTTCCCCCACCTCCAAACCCCCACACGACGCTCATCTCCCACCCCGTGGCCTCACTCACTGTTTTGTGGTGATGGGGCCCCTCTCGTCGATGGGTTCCCCGATGACATTCATGATCCTGCCCAAGGTTTCGGGGCCGACGGGGATGCGGATGGGCGCCCCGGAGTCCAGAACCTTCTGTCCTCTCACCAGGCCTTCTGTCCCGTCCATGGCGATCGTGCGCACGGTGTTCTCCCCTGCCAAGGCCCAAGGCCAGTGTCACAGCAGCAGTGCCCTCGAGTTGACCCTGGGGACAGCTGCTGGTGGCCTCCATGGGCCCTGCCAAGGGAACCATCCATTGGCAGGAGGACCAAGAGAGCAGGAGCAGGTCAAGGGAAGTCATTCTCCCCCTCTGCTCTGCACTGGTGAGGCCACAACTGGAATCCTGTGTCCAGTTCTGGGCTCCTCAGTTCAAGAGGGACAGGGAACTACTGGAAAGAGTCCAGTGAAGGGCAACAAAGATGATTCAAGGATTGGAGCATCTCCCTGATGAGGAGAGACTGAGAGAGCTGGGACTCTTTAGTCTGGAGAAGAGAAGGCTGAGGGGAGACCTTATCAATGCTGACAAGTAGGCAAGGGAGCCTACAGGAAGGCTGGGGAGAACCTGTTTAGAAAGGGCTGCAGTGACAGGACGAGGGGCAATGGCTTCAAGCTGGAGGGGAACAGCTTGAGACTGGAGATGAGGAGAGGGTTCTTCACTGGGAGGGTGGTGGAGCACTGGGACAGGTTGCCCAGGGAGGTGGTTGAGGCCCCTTCCCTGGAGATATTCAAGGGGAGGCTCGATGGGGCAACCTGGTCTAGTTGGGGGTGTCCCTGCTGAGTGCGGGGGGGTGGGACGAGATGCCCTTTGGAGGTCCCTTCCAGCCTGGACAAATCTATGATTCTAAGTATCTCAAGGGAGGGTTGAAGGAGGAGGGAGCCAGACTCTTTCCAGTGGTTCCCAGTGAGAGGATGAGGGGCAACGGGCACAAGTTGGACCAGAAGAGGTTCCACTCAAATCTGAGGAGAAACTTCTTCACGGTGAGGGTGGCAGAGCCCTGGAAGAGGCTGCCCAGGGAGGGTGTGGAGTCCCCTTCCTTGGAGATTTTCAAGACCCGCCTGGATGCTCCTGAGCTCTAACAAGCTCTAGGCAATCCTGCTTCGGCAGGGGAGTTGGACTAGATGATCTCTATGGTCCCTTCCAACTCTAAAATTCAGTGAAATTCAAAGTATCACAGAGGAAAAACAAGCCCACGCTGCAGCCCTGAGGGCCAGAGCCCTCCGGCAGCCATTTTCCTCCTCCTCCTCCTCCTCAGATTGAAATCCGTGGCTTCAGCAAGCTCAGGAGAACGAAAGTCATTACACAAATCATCACGGGAGGAACCCCCCCTTCCCTCTTTCCCCCCCCCTTCCCTCTTTCTCCCC